ACGAAACGGAGAAAGGCAATACTTTATCAGTTCTTGATGTCCTGCTAAAAAGATGTCAAGGTGGCATGTGGTATTTTCTGGAAAAATATCATGAGTTGGCCAATACACTTATTACAAGTCGTTTGTTCCTCTAGGACACAGACGAAATCTCATTAATACTCTAATGTTTCTGACTAGAAGAATCTGCACAACCGATATTCTTGACGAAGCAACAAGGAAAATAGACAGCTTATTATATTAGAATGGATATTTTGATGTGGTTTTGTTCTCTGAGCTGGATAGTTAATTCGAGAAGCTTTCATCGCCCTACTAGGTGACATCTTCACCTCAGTGCATACTTCAATTTGAAGTGAGCTTTTAGGTTTCTCCACGAGTTTATTATGCATCCCTCCTGGTTACCACCTTGGACGTGATTGGTTGTTTTTGTGTGTTTTCACACCTTCTAGGCAGCTACTTGTATTGGAACTAATTGTTTCTTTCACTTGGACTTTGACCCTTTGTGTGTGAGGTGTCTTTCTTATCGGTTGGTAAATTTTTTCTATTTCGATATGTCTATTGATTGATGATTCACTAGAATGCCAAGCTTCTAAAAATTCTCTAGCATTCTTGTTATTTCCTCTGTCTAATATTTAAACGTTATCCCAGTCCAAATGATGTCCGTAGTTGTCTGTATGTAGTGATCTGAGGGAGTGGATGTCATGTCTTTTGACGGTTAACTTATGTTCGTAGATACGAAGACGAATGGGACGTCGACTTTGGCCAATGTAGTGTTTTCCTCAGTTGTTACAATTTATTTTATAGATGATGTTGGTTTTATCTTCTTTCGTTGTTGAGTCTTTTGGCTGACATAGAATTGAGTGAAGTGACTTTGTTGGTTTGTGTGCGACGTCAATTCCTAAAGGTTTGAAGAGTCTTGTAGTGATTTCTGAGATATCCTTTATATATGGTAAGGCGATTTTATGTGTGCTCTCCTTGGGGGCTTTTGGTGTGATAGGTTGGCTTGGGGGTATATGTCTTTTGATGAAATTCCGTGAATATCCATTCTTTTGGAAGACGTTCATGAGTGATAGGATCCCACATATTTTGGTATTGACTGCTAATTTTGTATATTATCATTCTCACACATTTTGGTAGTGACTGCTAATTTTGTATATATGGTATATTATCATTCTCACGCATTTTGGTAGTGACTGCTAATTTTGTATATATTGTATATTATCATTCCCACACATTTTGTTACTGACTGTCAATGTCGCACATATGGCATATTATCATTTCTCACACACTTTGTTATTGGCTATTAAGGTCAATTATTTCAAAAGCTGTTAGCTGTCTATATTTTTGTAAAATGTATAAATACCATGGCTTTCTTTATCGTTGTTGCACCTCAATACACAGTCACAGTCCAGCCTTTGTCTTTTGATATTTGCGTGCTTTACTAAGTCGGAAGGTACGACGAGCAGATAGGCAGATTAGTTCAGGCGCAGACAGAACAAGGTGACAACGTCTTCATTCAATACCCTACCGTTATAACAATGAGATATTTAATTTTTCTTCAATTTTCCTTAAGGTGGGAGTGCTGAGATGAGTCCTTGCCCTATTGAATAATGTTTGTATGCAATTCCTTTTGTGTATTATTGGATTGTTGCTGTTGTAATTTAGTATTTGGTCTGTATGAGTTGATTTTCTATAAGCTTGAATTTCTAATTCCCCTGTGGTTGTTCGCTTGACTAAGATGTCCAAAAATGGCATGGATAGAGAGAGAGATAGAGAATGGATATCCCAAGAAATTTGTTAAAATCTCCATTAATAGAACAGATACAAAGAAATACCTAAAAAACTCTGTAGATGAAACGTATACAAATGACGCTACCGTCTAAAGGAGACGCAACTATTTAGTTACTGGCATCAAAACTACGGAAAATAACAGCTAAGACACGCTTTATCGCAACGCCACATTTAAAATTCACCACTCATTGTATAATTCCAGTCTAGGTGGAGGATAAACTATCGAGCCTGGTCAGTTGTGTATTTATAAATTTTACTGTTCTTGTGGCGACATTTATATAGATAGAACGAACTGGGAAGCTGGGCGATGAAGACAGAACTGCAGGTGAGCATAGAGAAAACGGAGGTGATGAAGTTATCTTCATCCACGCACCAACAGCAACAATAGCCGGCACCAATTACCATCAGCAAGGGAGAGAGATTTGATGGAGGTTATTTGCTTCCTTCCTTCCCAATCCGTCTAGGAAACACGGTTTCGACTACGAGCCAGCTGAATGGATGAAGATGTCAAAAGCGGTGAGAATGGAAAAAGCAAGATACGCGCTTCCATTAACCTGATACCACTTTGGAAATCGTCTGCACTCCACCTCATCATAAAAAAAATAAAAGAATCGGATTTTCAACACAAGTGTGAAGTCAGTCAGTCAGTTAGTTCTACGAATAGGATTTCCAATAAGTTATAGACTTTTGTCAGCAGCTGCCCACTTAACTGGCTCCATGCCGAAGATCGACTGACTAAAAACAATGAGCAACAAGAAACTCATTAGTGGAACAAATCAGCCGACAGCTGATTGCTCAAGAAATATGTAGGAGAAAATGGAGTGCTTCATCGGCGCTAGAGTGATTGATAGTGATGAGATAGTGTGACAAGGATCAGATTAGAGAATAAGGGCAATCGTGAACGCAGGTGAAGAGGACAGCGGAAAATAGAAGAAAGTGGATATGCATATTATCGAAACCCTATGCTCCACTCAGAGCCCAAGGGAATAATAATAATAATAAGTCACACAAACTAGAATATCAACAGGCAAAAACCAACAAGTTGACGGAGAAGGTGGGTAGTGAAGACAAGGCTTCAGATGAACATAGAGAAAACGGAGCTGATGACGATGACCAGCCAGTTGAGAACAGTAATAAGCAGCAGTTACTTTCAACCGAAGAAATTTGAAAGATACCACGTCCTTCATTCGTCTAGACAGCATTGTTTAAGCTATGGATAGTTGGAGGCAATCTACAGGAGGTCCAGCCGAAACTAGGTTTCGTGCTAGTTGACACTCACCACTTACCAAGGCGTATCTGCAACTTTGAAGCGGCTCATATCCCTTCCGAGATTCAAACCCACGTCAATCAGCGCTGAAGTCAGTCAGAGACGTTACCACTGAGCTATTCGGGCCCGTGACTAATCTCCTATAGGACTGTATTGGGTACTTTGATTGGACACTAGGTAAGAACTAGGGTAATATATCTAATCCTTTCTTTGGTGCCGACTAAATTCTATCAGTCAAGGTTGCAATATAGCCACCATTCTAAATGTCTCGTGATCATGATACACCGTGAACTGTTGATACTGGATAGTTAGAGGCAGAAAGCCCAAACTGACCTAGATTTCATGCTAGTTGGCACTGGTCAGCAAGGCGTTCAAATCTAAGAGGGGACATGAATTCCCTCGAGGTTACAGGTACGCATTGTTTAAGCTATAGGTGGCGCTAATGCGAATGTCCAAGTTAGTCGGAATCACAAAGGTAAGACAAACTCTCATTGGTCTGAATTCAGTAGAGAAATTTACTGAACTCAGCATTAGGAACAAGATTCAGACTTTCCACATCAATGTTAGGTCAATCAGCTCTCTTCTCTATGGGTCGGAGACTCACTGTGTCACGGAAAGCACTTCTAACAGGCGTAAGACTTTTACCGACAACTTCCTCCGCTAAGCCTATACTAAGATCAGATGATCAATCAGAAAGGATTATCAACACGGAACTCTGGTAACACACCAACGAAGTACCTGTTTTCCTGATGGATGGTAAACACACTGATGAGACCATTTTAGTAACATTGAGCACCAGAAGATCGTGTAATGGAACTCGAACAGTAATATAATTAGAATAAAAGAGAAAAATAGCAAACTTGGTGTGTTTCAGTTTCAAATTTTAAACAACTCGTTCGTTAAAAAAGCTAACAAATTAAATATGACAGAATTAAAGATAATGCGCTAAATAAGTCGCTAAGATGTTTTTCAAGTATTGGTTTTGTAGGGATTTAGTTTGATTGGATGGAGCATTTCATCATGGGCTGACATCAGTTAGAGAACCATCGGAAAACCTGAGAGTACTGGACAGCTGTTTCATCCTGTTTTGAGACTCTTCACAGTAAGCACCTACAGGGGTTCGAACCCACTACCTTCTGGTTACAAGGCTAGCGAGCACGTAGACCATTGAGCCACTCGGACCCAATGCAATGGTCCATGGCCCTGTGAGTGCGTACTGATGAAGAGTCCCAAACTAGGCTGACGAAACAGCCATCCAGTACTTCCAGGTTTTCCAGTGGTTCTCTAACTGATGTCAGCTAAGATGTTTGACAAAATGACTGACAATGATATCAAACAAAATCTTAGACCATAATTACTCTTGATATAAACAAGAATTATGTTTCTTTCTTATAGCTGTGCGTCGGTGGCACAGTGGTTAGGACTCTCGCTGACCATGCACATGGTCCGGGGTTCGAGCCCACGCCGACGCACAGCTGATATCTATGGTCGGCCTGCGAAATTTGGGCTACCGATATCCACGCTGAAAATTCCATACTTGTACCAAAAATACGGTGTGGAATCAAGCTGTAATTTTTATCTTATCTTATAAGTGACAGAGTATTTGTCACGGTTATGCGATTTAAAGGTGATAGAACTCTGGTTAAAATTCTCACAAGACACTGTGAACAGAGTGATTTATTTATCTGAATGACTTTCAAATGACATTCGGCTTTAACTGGCTTGACAATTTGCCTCAGAAAGGTCATCCAAATGCTGTAGATTAAGCTCTCTTCGTCTTCTTCCGAAATTTCATATTTCAACCCTAAAAAGTGTTTCCTTAGAAGGATAAAATATTTCAATAGCATATTGATGTTGTTAGACGTTTCTTTTTTGTTTTAATAAATAATCGAATATGACATTTAAACCGCTAAACTTAAAATAACTAATAGACAATAAAACTTACATAAATGCTTTATAATTAGTACCAATTTTTTGTACATGAAGATCACAGTTTGCATCAACAAATGGTTCTGTGGTAGCGTATGTCTGACCAGAAATCATAAGACCAACTAAATCTTGGTAGATAAATGGTGTATCAGCTTTCACCTGTATTGTATTTGGAAGATTTTTGAAAGGATAAATGTGTATACAGTTATATATCATGTAAGATGTGAATATAAATAACACTATAAAAGTTATTGTTTCAATGTAATACAACAAAATAAAATGGCGTCTTTTGAAATTTATAGTTAGTTTTACTTTTGCTGGCTTTTAATTACTAAAACTACTACTTCTTTGTACAAAAAACGTCTAGTTTCGAACCAACGACCAATTGAACTGGCAAACTGACAGGGTGGCTATAGGTTCACTTTTTTGTTTTGTTCTTGCGAACGTATTCATGGCTCAACTTGAACAAACACAAATGAAGCCGGAAATAGAGAGGACCAGATATGTTGGACGACACGTTTGTGGTTTGCAACAGTACAGATTACGCACTCACGATGTTCGAAAACCTCAGTTAGGCTCACCCCCAGATGGCATTTACAATGAACCGTGAAGGTAACGATGAGTTTCACTTCCTATATCTCAGCTCAAAAAAAAAAAATAGAAACGATGGAGTAGTTGAAAAATCCATCCAAAGAAGAAAGAAACTTGGACTGACCAATACTTGAGTTGTCACAGTTTCTGCCTTATGGGCTACAAACGGAGCCTGATAGAAACGCTCTTCAGAAGAGCTAGCGCGTTATGTTAAGAAGAAGAACTCGGGGTCATTGAAAAGAACCTTATCGAAAAATGAATACCCTCGGAAGTTCACCTATGCCGAAGCCTGATATAGTTGAAAAGAAACCAGTTTGTATTTGTCCAGCGTACAAGGGGGAAGAAGCATCCATAAGAGTGGAAAATAGAATCAAAGTTGCATTGAATAGGAATGTTTCTCGCTGCTAGACTCATCCGACTCTACAAAAAGAGAACGCTGGTTAACCCAGTCAAAGGCAGATAAGTATCTTGCTCTGCATGTCAACTCCTACTGCATTTACCAATTCACCTGCACTTGTGGTATCAAGTGCATAGGAAGAATGGAGAGAAGAGCGCCTACTAGATTCTCTGAGCATATCCCTATGAGTCTGCATTTTCAAGACAGCAAAGTATTCTCAAGTGCAATCGCCAGACACCTAATTAAATAGGGACATATATTGTGGAAGCTAGCCAGGCTTTCAAAATAATCAGTATACATAGAAAAACATGGTTACTTTGATTCGCAGAAGCCATTGTCATCCAAAAAGATTTTGACCCAACCTATGCACAAAGAAAGATAGTGTGACTAATATCTCACTACCCTAGTAACCGTAATTGTTTTGTTCGTGTGCTTTGTGTTTTTGTGTTTTATGCTGTTGCATAAGATTCCACTGAATCTAGATTTCGACTTTCACTCACTGAGGATCAAAATCTACTAAATTAAATTATTTTATCTATTTTATAATTTTACTTCACTATGCACCTACACACACTCCTGAATTCTCCACCATAATACGTATAAATTCATTCTGCTGTTCTGTCTTGTAATTTGTGTCTAGTCCCAGAACGCTGATGACATTAGCGCGTGTGGTTGCGTTAGAATCACGAACTAGCGGGAGTTGAAACTCATAGGTCATTGGATCAGGTCCCAGTGTGGAGGTAACTTGGAGGTAAGGAATTCGAAGGCGGCTGAAAATCCCAAAACCGGGACGAAATATCTGTGCAGCACTCAGTGGTTTTGAGTGGCTTCCTAACTGACGCTAGTTGGTAATCATACTTGAAACTATTTTCTAAATTAACTACCGTATATTAAGATGACACCAAGCAATGACACTTTTCTTTAATACAAGTCATATCGCATTATTGATATAATGTATATATATATATATACACTATACAAAACATCTGATCCGATCACTCACCTTGCCTTCGCCACGATGACCGTGTCCAACTTTCACAATGACTGGAAATGCTGGTGCTACAACCTGTAAATTATGTAATGTAATAAAAGTGATTAGTACGTTGGAATAAATTAGAAAATTATAAGACACTAAGCAAACAATAATTATGCATTTATTAACCTCACCGTTACTCATTATGACAAATAATTAAAACAGCTGAGAAACAGTAAAGTAAAAGTGATAACTAGTCCATTCATCATTTCATGAATTAAATACCTTCATGTAATTTATTATTATTTTTGTTGTTTCCTTAGGTTCCTAGAGGAATATAGGACTTCAGCTGAAAGTCTCTATTGAGTTCAGGTTCTCGGCCAACGTTTTCATCACCTGGCTCCACGTCTGCCCACATGCCTTCATTTCCTCTTCGCATCACCTTCTCCACTCCATATCACCCCCCCCCTCGCACTGACGACCGACTCGCCGCTTCCTATTCGGGTTCCACTCGAGAGAGAGCCTGGCGTGTGATGTCACTTAATGATTTGTTTTCTTAGAGTCCAACTAATCTACCTCCATTTCTTCTTGCATATTTGTTGCACAATTGGTTCCTTCTGGGTTGGCTTCCTCCTAGAGATCCCTCCATGTTGCTGGGCTTTTCTGGTCGGCCATCTGATATTGGGAGAAGTATTGAGAGAAGACAGCTGTTGATGAAGCTGTGCAGTTTGTTCATGTTACCAATTCTGTAATGTACTAATCCCCTGTAAAGTTTGTTTACTCACATGTTGGCCTTCATGACAATGATTATATACTCAGTATGATATGTTTTATTAGCTAAACACACACACACACACACACGCACCTGTCTGTATGTGGAGCTAGGAGACAGGAATCCGATGGATCACCGATAAGAAGACTCTAGAAGATGTGGATTTTGCATCTGGATGATATATGTGTAATATCACACAAACTCGAAGGCTTAAAGGTAGTTGAAAAAACAACAAACTGGCAGAAAAGGCTGCCTGGCAGTCAGCGAAGACAAGACTACAAGTGAATACAGAGGAGAGTGAGGAGGTGATGAAGATGACCAACCACTGACACCAATGATCATCAACGGGAGAGATTTTACAGAGGTTACTTGCTTCCTTCACTTATCCGGCTAGGATTCACGGTTTCAACTACAAGCCAGCTGAATGGAACGGAGATGTCAAAGCCAGCCAGACAGAGTCGGAAAGGTGTAAGACGCCTTCGTTGACCTAAAACCAGTTTGAAAATCGTCTGGACTCAGTCACCCAGAATGAAGAACAAGATTCTGATTTTGTTCAACACGAATGTGGAGTCAGTCAGTCAGTCAATGAATCAGTTCTTCAATACGAGTCAGAAACTTGTACTGCGTGTCATTCACGAAAAGAATTTCCAATAAGTAATAGACTTTTGTCAGCAGTTGTATTCGTTCCTTACTGAAGATCATTTGGCCGGCCGGCCAGTCAGACAGGCGGCCAGCCAGCCAGCCAGAAATAATTATCAAGGAGAAACTCTGTCTGGGAAGAAATCAACCGGTGAGGGCCGATTGCTCAACAAATATGCAGGAGAAAATGCAGATGGATGGATTGGTCATACGTTGAGGACGCCACTGAATGACATCGCCCGTTTGGAATCCGAATGGGAAGCGTCAAGTAGGTCGTCGGTTCGAGGGTGACATGGATGAGGAGATGAGAGATTATGAGCAATCGTGGACGCAAATAAAGAGGACAGCGGAAAATAGAAGAGAGTGGCGATGAGTTTTTGAAACTCTATGTTCCACTAGGAACCCGAGGGGGTAATAATAAATAATAATAAATGGACATAGGCGCAATGATATCATTGTAATGATCACAGCAATCCACAACCTGAAATAGAGTTTCATTATGGTCTCAATAAAACAGTTAACTTGCTAGGGAAATCAACCAGAATTTGAACATACATCTTTTTTTTCATTCTCCGTATTTGAATGAGCATTATAGACTACTACCTTAATATAATTTGATTTTTGTTGTTATTCTTTTTTGCATTCCTGGTAGAACACAGTGTTTTCATGATGTAATTTGATGGACAGTGACTAGTGACGGTATCCAGGTTTCGCATTTCGGCTGAGACTCTACGTAGGATTCTTAATAAAGCAGGAATTCAGGGTGGCATTCAAACCTGTGCGTCGGTGGTGCAGTGGTTAGGACTCTCGCCGACCATGCACATGGTCTGGGGTTCGATCTCCTGCCGACGCACACCTAATACCAATAGTTGGCCCGCAAAATATGGGTTACGGATAACACATGCTGAAAATTCCATACTTGTACCGAAAATGCGGTGTGGAATTAAGCTGTAATCGAAAAAAATAATAAAATAAAACTCAGAGACAGGCCCTGTAGGCTAAAAGACCCGGTGGACCCAATTAAACAAAATAATATAATTTACACAATACCTTGCAATGACTGTGAGTGAGGTCAACTGTATGGGTCAAAATAGTAGATCGGGGGTAATCAGATTGTCAGAACATAAGAATTTAGCTAAGGAAGAATGGTTGACCCGAGAAGATAAGTATTTAAGCAAAAAAGGTCAGCGATTGCACTTCACGCATTCATACACAACTACACAATAGGGTGGGAGAGAGAGGCTTAGGATTCTAAGAATTAATCTAGGTAGGTGGAGAGAGAGATTGATTACTGAATCCTGGTTCATTGAGTCTACACCCAACACAACATATGCAACAGAAATGACTCAATGCAAAGACCAGTGGTATATGGAAGATATGATTACCGCCAGTCAGTCAAATCAGAGGAGGATAGTAAATAATCGCAAAATTCTATTTTAATTCAAATCAAGTATATCATAACATTCTAACAAGTTACTTATTATGACTATAAGAACACTCGTCTTATTTCCCATCTGATTGTAATTGATCAGTAACACTCATATTATTATTTCTGAATGTACATTATCTCATATTGATTTTTATTCAGATATCTAGTCAGTTCCACACATGTATATAGATGAAGGAAGACAGTTGTGTGAGTAGTGACTTGATATGAATATGAGTGGCAATAGTTTGTGCTCGAAACGTAGTGGCAGCAGTTAATATTACTGTGTAACAACAGTGTGTGACTTATCAGAATAAAATCTCATCCATAATAGAGTTATACTCTACCACATTGACCAAGTTTTATACTTATATCAATCAATGGGGAAGTCAGAATTGAATTAAATAACAGGCTATCCATCTTAATAGTTACAGTGGCAATAGTGTTGCTAATTTTTTAAAAAGAAAGCGCAGTGAAGACCTTAGTCTCACGCCCAACATTTCCTCTCTTACAGGCTCCTTACCGGGAAGGGAAACCAGATAAGGAAGTGTTGGACCACCAAGGCAAACTTATGTTTTGACTAAGTGACCACAAATCAAAGTATTCACACAACAAACAAGCTGTTTAATGACAGAAATTCTATCACATAGATTTTGCTTGCTTGATCCATTTATTGTGGGATATTTTGTGATATTCATTTCCTCTAACCTCTCTTATTACTTGACGGCAAAAGTACATATCCAAGTATACCTTCTAATTTATAAGCTTCTCAAATTTTTCAGACAAATATGTACATACACCTAAAAAAAGAAACCTTCAGAAGAAGTCAGGTAACTATTCAACAGTCACCATGGTGATGTTGATTTTGAAATGGTTTCCGTTAATTATTTATTCATTATCATTGTGTATTTGACATTTATCCGTGAAACTGCATTTTTTTCTACTTTTTTATCTTTATGTAAATACAGAGAGATAAATTTGACTTATCAGATGTCTTTTTATAAGGAAAAATAATAATTATTTTTATTGAGTACTAACAATAATACCCACACTATATTCCTACTGTTCAAATGAATGCCTCCGTTGTAGACTTTTTTCAAGTATTGGTTTTGTAGGGATTTTGTTTGATTGCATGGAGGATTTCACCATGAGCTGACATCAGTTAGAGAACCACTGGAAAACCAGCTGGGAGTACTGGACAGCTGTTTCCTCCATCCTAGTTTGGGACTCTTCAGCAATACGCCACACCCACCGATAGGGTTCCAACCCAGGACCTTCTAGTTACAAGGCTAGCGAGCTTGTAGACCAGTGAGCCACTGGGACCCAATCCAATGCTCCTTGAATTCTAACTTCTGCCGATTCACGATACAGCGCGATCACTTCACAATGTCTGCTTCGATGAGTTACTGCCTCATCTTCAACCTGCTGGGTGGGTGCTTATTGCTGAAGAGTCGCAAACAAGGCTGACGAAACAGCTGTCCAGTACTCCAAGTTGGTTTTCCAGTGGTTGTCTAACTGATGTCAGCTCATAGTGAAATCCTCCATGCAATGAAACAAAATCCCTACAAAATCAATACTTGAAAATTAATCTGATGCTCACTAGTGACTAGCCCTATTCAGGCAGTTAACCTGCGGTTCTAGTGGGAAGCCGTGACCAGTTGGGTACAGCAGGTCGAAGATGAGGCAGTGACTCATTGAAGAAGACATTGAGAAGTGGTCGCGCTATGTTATGAATTGGCAGAAGTTAGAATTCAAGAACCATTGGATTGGGTCCCATTAGCTCAATGGTCTACGTAGGTTTTTTAACAGAAGTTACGCAGATAAGTATTGGAGATATTATTATTATTATTATCTTGAGCTCCAAGCGAAACATAAGGCTTCAGGATAACATCTACTTTCCATTATTTCCTCTTCAGATGGCAACACAATTGCCATGAAGCTCTCATCACCTCTTCACATAATCACCTACATGTCACTCTCTTGGTCAGACGCCTAACCTGTCGTTGCCAATCACAATGAACTCGAACAATGGCCACCATTGCGCGCTATCCATCGCCGTTTTCATCGAAACTAGTTGTTGATTCCCAGAGTTTCTTGTTCCTAACTCTTTTTGGCCTTTTGATCTTCATTATAGTGCCAGAAATAAGGTCTGCAGTAGCCTATTCGAAGTGCTTTTCCTGATGTTCAGTGCAAGTTTTTGACCCATATAGGAAAACTGACTGACTGAGTGACTTAACCATTCGTGTTGAAAATCCA